TGATGTTCTACGAAATTTGACTGACAAAAGAAAGCAAAATATCAGGCAACTGCATTTGAGTAAAACTCTATTACACATGGCCACAACGGCACATTCTGAGCGTTTCATCTTTTGCTCGGGTTGCTGTTTCGTTTCACCCGCTTTTTTTCTTTATGCATGCGGTGTATCATTTCGAATTTTCAATCCAAAGCTTGATCCATGTCAGCTAAACTTTGGTGCATTTTTTAGTTACATTTGACTATCCATAGAGACAAAAAAAATTATGAATACGGATCGAGAAAAAAGGTGTAAGCCTGTTAGACCTTTCATACTACTCCCTCCATCAACAAAACATGCCATTCTAGCATAGTATTACGTTTTTAGTATCTTAAGTTTAAACGATTATAGATAAAAAAAAGTATCAATATTTATGATATCAAATAAATATCATTAGATTAATTACAAAATGTGTTTTCATAATAAATTAATTTGAAGTCATAAATATGAATACTATTTACTAGAGACTTAGTCAAACGTGAACTACTTTTTCTAGCACGCAACTCATAATTGCATGTTTTTGTGGACAGAGAGAGTATATTCTACGCAAAAATTGTTATTCAACTTGTCTTATCATATATGAAACTTCATATAGCACGTAGCATCCGCGTCTTCTAAGCGCTCCTAGTTGCACGTAGCATCCGTGTCTTCTAAGCGCTCCTAGTTATTGTAGTTGTACGATCAGCCAATCAAGTTGGGCCACTCCTCCGAGAGCCTATGCGCTTCATGCCCTCTCCCTCCGAGCCGCGTGGTATTTCTGGGCCCTGCGTTGCAGCTCCGCGCCCAGAAAAGAATTCGTGCGTGTGCAAAAAAAAAAAGGTCTGTCTACTGAAAACTCAGATGATTTAGACCCTCCTATCACCCGAGTGACTGACAGAACAGATAAAATCACTCAAATTTACCGTATAAAAAAAATCAAGTGATTCAAGGTGATCTGTCACCCGATTCCAATAACCACAACAAAATCCAAAGAACGAAATGAAAAAAAAACAAAACAAAAGATAAAAAAAAAATACAGATTAAACATATCAGTTGTATTAAAGACAAATTAGAAGAACAAAGCAGAAAATCAAAAGAAAAAAGACAGATCTAACATATCATTTCTATAAAAGGCAAATTACAAGAAGATCGAAGCAAAAAAAAACAAAGAAAAAAGACAGAATTCACATATCATTTCTATGAAAGGCAAATTAGAAGAAAATTAAAGCAAAAAAACATAGAAGAAAGACAGATTCAACACATCATTTCTATGAAAGGCAAATTAGAAGAAGATCAAAAGCAAAAAAAACATAGAGAATTGTTCAAGTAATCCAAATGACCACTCTCATCTACAAATAGTCAATTTACACCGATTGAATACAGAACTTACACCCATATAAGCATAGTAAAATAAGCTACAGTGAGGTGTAGTCTTTATCTACTAATCAAGAAATGAATTTGCACAAGGCTGCACCTTGGCCTGGGCCGCGGCGCGGTGATGCCGGATTGCCGGCACTGGACGAGGGGCACGCGGCGCGGCAGCTTGGGTGCTCGGCGCCGGGACGGCAGGGCCGCGCGGCGCGCGGCGCGCCGGGGTGCAGGGTTGCGGGCGCGCCGGTGTGCGGACGCCGGAGAGGGGTCGGAGGCGAGGAAGAAAGAGAAGGATGCGAGGAAGAAAGAGTCGCGCTGTCCACTGCACGAGTTAATGCGATGCCGTTTCCAGCTGCATACAGAGAGGCCGGTGGGGGCGTCAAGCGGTACCTCTGCTGGACTGCTCATGACGCTGTCAGCAGCGGGGGCCTGGGCGACGCGGCGTCGATGGTGTTGGTATCACGTCCATTTGCTCCCAAGTCACCGTCTGTGCCTGTCCCCCTGTAGCATCTCTGCTTCAACATCCTGCAGCCGAAGCCTGAAGCAATCTTGCCTCAGCAAGAATGTATTGCTAGCTTTAAGGTAACATATGTTGCCTCCTATTTTGTCAGATCATCAACCTGGATAATGTGTTGAATGTATATATCTTCTCTATATGCTTCTAAGTATGCCGCTGCCCGCTGAACTGTTTGATAAAAGGCCAATATAGCATATTCCACCGTTTTCACTTGGCTTTGGGTTGTAGCTGGAAAGCAAAATTTTGTTGTTCCAAAACGGAGCTACAGTCGTAAAGTACCTCAACTAAAGAATTAATGCAAGGATCTGTTCAGCCTTTGCTAATAATTTCCATGTTTATCTTCAGGTCCTTCAGGATGTGCTAGGAATGCAGTTTGTAAGAAAAACAACTCTAAGGAGCCTGCGATTAGTCACTATTAATTATTATTAATGCTACTCCTCTGTAATCCTTCATAAAATTTTGCTTTTTTGGGGTCTAAAGACAACTGAAACTTATTTTAATTCATGTTTTTATCCTTAATTCTGTTGTACGAGGTGGTTTGAAGTTCCCTCCAGTTGTACCCTGAACTTGCAAGAGTATGCATGCAAACTGTTATTTTCAACTAGAGAAGATGAAACAAGTCTGTATAATGTTGCCTTCTATGGCTTAGCCTATGTAGTCGTCGTTATCTCCAAATTTATTTTGTATCCTACGAGTCTGCTAACATGATCAGGTTTCTGAGCGACAAAACGTATGTACTTCCTCTTATCTCCAAATTTACTTGGCATCCTAAAAGTCTGTTAACATGATGTGCTTTATGACCTACAAATGGCACTTAAACTTTTCTAAACACCACAGGTGCATGATCTATGCTCCTGTCTTGTTCCCAGACGCCAAACACGTGTATGCGCCCTGTCCTACGGGCGTGGCGAAGAGAGCCTCCTGACCTAGTTATTATATATAAACTGTCCTAGGCATCTGACTGCGGCTAGGATCATTTGCCTAGGCAGGTGCTGCCTCCCAAGGCATGAACCGAACAACCCCTATATGCATGCATTGGTTTGTTTGATGGCCGTCATGAAACTAGAGTATTACTCCCTCCGCCTTGATAGCTCTCGATATTTTGGACAATGTCACGGACTTCAAAATTTATAAAAAAAACAACAACATACATGCATATAATAATTTTCTTATATTGCTTTTCAAGACTAATCTAAACATGCTATTTCAGTGTCTTCAGACTCGAATATTTTACAAGCTATTCATACTCATCAAAGTTATAAAAGTTTGGCTCCAACCTTATCTGAAGTGACAAAATAGCATCTTCAAACTAAATAAATGTTTTAAAAGTTATTGGTGCTCAAAGTTATAAAAGTTTGTAGAAATTTGACTGCAATCTTATCTAAAATAATAACAAAGAGCCTGCTATTTCCTTAAAAAACAAAGAGCCTGTTCGGTTGTGCTGCACTGCATGCCGCCGCCGCCGCGTAGCACGGCATGGAGACTGATTGGCTGCTCTGTGCAGCACCAGCGGCAGCTACTACAGCGCCTACGCGCTGCAAAGTAGCACTGCGAGCCCTGAAAAGTTATGGAACGGATGGGAGAATTTGCAAATCGTGTTGTCAACAGTGCGATTTTCGCGAAATCTGCAGACTGCAGATAGTCCCTAGTTGGATAGCTGTAAACCTACCTACGTTTTGGCTGCGGTGGTTAGCTATCGCACCAGCTGTACGTTTTGCCATTTTTTGAATTTTTCAAAAAAAAAAACATGTATATATACTGTTTTATTTAGCCTTTATTTAGATAATTTCAGTTCTTTTGACCCAGTTGCTTGCACTGAAGCATAGTATCAAATTAGTATCTGTCAGTATCGTACATACTTTGCGTCCATATATACATGGAACATAGATTAGCTACCACTCTGTTCAAACAACACATAATGGCTATGCTACCAAATTGAAAATCGCCGTTTGCTGCAGCTTGGCATGCATGTTCAAGTAAATCTTCAGTTCTTCACAAAGTATTACTAAATCTTCACAATGTATATCGATCCTATCACTTCTAGCTGGCATGTCAAAGATAAACGCCATGTTCGTTTAGGCTGGTTTGATTTATAGGCTTCGTTCGGCTGGCTGAAGCCGGCTGGTTCCTCCTCAGAAAACACTGTTCATGTTCTAGCCGGTACAATATTTTTCTCTCACAACAAATCAGCCAAAAACGACCAGCCGGCTTTAATCCAGCTCAGCCGAACAGAGCCATAAACCATGACTGAAAGTACTGTTGCCTAGTTTGGTACGAGAGAAAAATACTATTCATCGGTTGATAAGCCATGACTTATAAGCCATATACAACCAAACGAACAGACTGAAAAAGGCAACATTTAATCAAGAGGCAGTAATTAAGGCACAAGCACGGCTTAATCCCTGACCACGCCTATCCATAACATTATCATCTCTCTCCGGTACAAATTTTGAACACCATCCATGCAGATCAAATAAAATGAAATAGAAAATAAATAAAACGAACAAACGGAAAGCAAAGAAATGCCTCTCACCTTTTTCACTTGGTGGTTTCAGTCGGGACTTATCAGCCAGCCAACAGTGTTCTTCTTTCACAACAAAACAGCACCAGCCGGGCTCATCACCAGAAACCAACCAGCTAAACAACTAAGGGCGTGTTTAGATCCAAATTTTTTTGGGTTTGTGCTACTATAGTACTTTTGTTTGTATTTGATAATTAGTGTCTAATTATAGACTAATTAGGTTCGAAAGTTTTGTCTCGCGATTTCTTATCCAACTGTGCAATTAGTTTTTTTTTCGTCTACATTTAGTATTTCATGCATGTGCCACAAGATTCGATGTGACGGATACTGCGCAAATTTTTTTGAAACTAAATAGGCCCTAAACACAACAATGCAAGGATTTCACATTTTCACACCACACGAAAACTGTGTCGTCGTCGTCTCCATGCCTCTCTCTCTCTCTCCCAATGATGAGCATGGCAGGCAGGAACAGATCAAACGCAATGCAGCTACGGCTACGGGCTTGCAAGTTGCAAGATCGTCGACCGAGTGGACAGCGATCTGCTGTGCCGGCGTCTCATCCCCTCCCGCCGGCCGTCAGATCGTCGTCCCCATCATGACCGCGCCAACCTCCACGCCGCCCCTCCGGCCGGCGGCAGCGGCGGCGCCGGCGGCCACCTGGCAGAGCTCCCCTCCCCCGCCGCCGCCGCCGTGCTGTACAGCAACAGGAACCACCACCCCACCAGCGCCGGCGCTACCACCACCTGCCTCGGCTGGCTCGCCGCCGTATGGGGCGTCGTCGTCGTCGTCGTTGGCGAAGCGCAGGCGGAGGCGTCCGCCGTCGCGCTCGGCGCGGAACACGACGCGGCGCTCGTGCTCGTCGGCGCGCACCTCGGTGAGGATGAGCCGCCCCCCGCGGCGCTCCGCGCGCAGGAACAGCGGCCCCGTCGCCCGTGGCATCGCCGGGGGGAAGCCCCCACGCCGCCTCTTCTCAGGCGCCGCCGCGGCCGCATCCTGAAGACGGTGCTCCTCTTGCGCCTCCTCCGCCGCTCGGGCGTCGGCATCGTCGTTGGCTTCGCCGTCATCGGGGCCACCACCAGCCGGGGGAGCCGGCGGGAAGAACTGGTCGATCTCGGCAGCGTCGCAGCCGACGTCGCCGCTCTCGGAGCCGAGGCTCTCGGTGCATGCGCCGGCCTCGCCGCCGGCCCACCAGCGGTACCCGGCGCCGACCGACGGCGCTCGCCGGAGCATCGTCGGGCCCTCCGCTGTCCTCACCACCACCACCACCACCACCACCACCACCACCGTCCACCGGCCGTATGCGTGTGTGAACGCAGTGAGGTGCAATGGAACATGGCCACTGCCCGAGGAGGCGCTTTATATACACGGGGAAGCCAGTGGCAGCGACGGTAATTATCTCGGCCGTTTCCGTTCGCGAGGCGCGTGGTGTGGCGCCTCCGAGCTGGCGGGACGGAGAAGCAATTGACGGTGACGGACGAGGACGCCACGTACCCGCGCCTATCGGGTTGGGGCTCGCTGACGTGCGGGGCAGCGAGAGGGTGGGACCCGCGCGGCGCGGTTGGGTGCCTGCGGCGATGCGTGAGGAGATGGGAGGTTGGATGTTGGATGCGAAAGAACGGCGGCGCTAGCTGCTGAGCTGGAGCGCAACAGGGATCCGGGCACGGGCCTCCAGGCTCCAGGAATTGAAGGCTGGGACGCGGCGAAAAGCCGCTGGCAGCTTGTGCACAAGTGGCAGCCAGTAGCGCAGCGTGAGCACGCGCATAGCTCGTGCCCAGCACAGGAGTAAACCCAAGGCAAAATATCTTGCTTCAAAATTTGAATTACGTTCTTTTTGTATTAGCCAGTTCCCGCTTTTGCATAGATTGGAAACTTGGACAGGTAACCAACCATTTAATTTGCACATCGTGTTGATTCAAAAAAAAATGCACATCTTGTTGGGGTTGTCCACATTATTGTTGTATTGTATGTGAAAAAGGAACTCAAGATCATTGATAGCTCAGAAAAACGGCATTTGGACTCCAGTAAAGATACACACGTTTACATCAGGCGATCCAGCTAATAAATTCAGACGATTGTTAGCCATCATAGAATTCAAGTTTGAATGTAGCCCACGTACAACCAAACGCGCTTTCTTAGCTTGTGTTGAGCTGATTGGTAGTGTGCGGGGTGAACGGAATTTGGAGTATGTTCTCTTTATTGGTTGTATGTATGCGGGGACGCATACGACAAGATATATATTGCCCTCTACGAATAGGAAAGAGTATACATATGGAAGGTTCATCCTTTTAGCTCATGATATATTTCTTTATAGAATATATTGCAAGTGAGGTATATCACCCTATTCTGCAGGTGGTATTGAGCTGATTTTGGCTGATTCAATAGTGTTTCTATGAGAGAGAATAAGCCAAAATAAGCACAAGCCGGCTGAAAAATAGATGAGCAGAATAAGGTGTATGTCTAGACAGCATATGGCTAGGTACGCATGAAGTATACGTCTAGGCAGTTTGTCAACTTGAAAAGAATGACATCTAGACTCCAGCATAAATGTTCACATAGTGTGAGGCAGCTAATGAAACCACACGGTTATTAACTGTCATGAAAAGACCAGTAGAAACGGAAGTGAAGTGGCAACGACTAGCTAACAACACATCACAAGCTCTTTTTTAGCTTGTGCTGAGTTGATCGGAAGTAACTGAAGAAAAATATCTAGGTACGCATGAAGTATACGTCTAGGTAGTTTCTCAACTTGAAAAGAATGAGATCTAGACTCCAGCATAAATGTTAACATAGTGTGAGGCAGCTAATGAAACCACACGGTTATTAACTGTCATGAAAAGACCAGTAGAAACGGAAGTGAAGTGGCAACGGCTAGCTAACGACATATCACAAGCTCTTTTTTAGCTTGTGTTGAGCTGATCTGGTAGTAACTGAAGAAAAATATCTATGTACGCATGAAGCATATGTATAGGCCGTTTCTCAACTTGGAAAGAACGACATCTAGACTCTAGCACAAACGTTAACATAGTGCGAGGATGCTAATGAAACCACATTCTTATTAGCCACTACGAAAAGCTCGGTGGAAACGAACTTGAAGTGGTAACGGGTAGCTAAGTAACATATCATGAGCTCTTTTTTAGCTTGTGTTGAGTTGATTTGGTACTAACTGAAGAAAAATATCAAGGTATGCATGAAGTATATGTCTAGGCAGTTTCTCAACTTGGAAAGAATGACATCTAGACTCTAGCACAAATGTTCACATAGTGCTAGGATGTTTATTAGCCACTATGAAAAGCTCAGCAGAAACGGAAGTGAAGTGACAATGGGTAGCTATGTAGCATATCATGAGCTCTTACTTAGCTTGAGCTAAGCTAATTTGACGGTAACCGAAGAAAATATCTAGGTATGAATGAAAATTGAATTGCATTCCCTTTTCTTGGTTGTACTTGAGTGTGTATCTTGTCCTCTAACCGTAACAAATATGCCCATGGAAAGCTCATTATTTGGTTAATCATTCACATGTTGTGTAGAGGTTGTCCACATCTGTCATACATCAAGATTATTACTTAGCTTAGAAAGGATGGTGCCAAGACATGAGGCATGCAGAATGTACTACGGTAAAAGTTTCTAACTGAAGTGCTAGCTAGTAGTATAGCACATTGTGAGATCATTCTTAGATTGTGTTGACCTAATTTGGTTTATCTATAGAAAGATGTGGGTGAAATTGTACATCTCTTGTCATCGTAAAACCAAATAGTTGTAAGTCATAGTGAAAAAACTAGTAGTAGCTAAGTGGCAATTAGTAGCGAAGTAGCACATCATGAGCTTGTGCTAAGCTGATTTGATAGTGAATGAAGAAAATATATGGTGCTAAACAAATTTGAATAAATTCACTTGATCATCTTTCATGTGTTGTATTATGGGCACACATGTCACCTTACATGTCTTGTCCTGTATGAATTGTCCTGTATGAATTGGAAAGAACATGCATTGGTGTTTTCAAAGTCCTTGAACTTCAACAATATGGTGGACTACAACGAGGAGTAAATAGGGGATGAAAATTTTCAATCACTCATCCATTTATTTCCCAAGGGCACACTATTTATAGTAATAATATTTACAATATACATATACCATTTTACCTCCGCCCTTTGAAGTCTGGCACTTTTGGGGGACACTTCACTAGTGACTTTGAAGGTGACTTTCCTTGATATTTCCTTGGCATTTCACTACTCATGGCAAAATTCTACCCTCGCATGGCAGTGTTAGTACCCTTTTGAAGGTGTCTTTCCAAAGATATTCTATGAAGTCTCCTACCGAAGACCAAATTCGGTAGTTAGACAACTACAATGAGCAGTGGGGAAGAGAGGACCTTTAAACCAATGCATCCCCCAATAATTTGTAAGTTCATCTTTTTTATGGATGATCATCGCAACACATCGTGTAGGGCTTTTGCATCACATCAGATTGCAATCGAGATTTTACTTAGCTTATTAGAAAGAATGGTGTATAGGCTATAAACATTCACATTGTGCAAGGTAGCTCATAGAACTAAATAGTTGTAAGGCACTTGTGAAAAGGTTGCTATCAACTAATGAATAACTCTTGAAATTAGCATTGTGCAAAATATCTCATAGAAGTACATGATTTTAGCTATGCTAATGGCTAGGCTGCTAGTAACCATGGTGGAAACTAATAGCATTATAGCGTCGCGTGAGGTCTCTATTAGCTTGTCCTGAGTTGATCAAGCATTGGCTAGAGAAAATATATTCGGGTGTAGGTGAACATTTAGTTATGTCTTCTTTTTCCTGGATGTATATATTGTGCTCTATGATTGGAATGAATATGAACTCAAAGGTTCAATATTTTTGGTCGACCATGTGCACATCATGTAGTGATCGTTCGCAATGGTCGATCCACACGAGGGTGCTAGATGCCCACTCCTTAGCCCATGGAAGTTGAACGACAAGAGGTCCAACACTTTTTTGGGGCTGATCTTGTCTACTTCTAGTTGTCCATAGGGCCGGGTAAAAAACATGTGCATGAAAATTTGTAACGCACCGAACATTGAAGTATGTAGGCCTTTTGGTCTTTTGGTGTTTGATGCAATTAATGTTTTGGGCGTATTCAGTGCTTGGTGTATGGTTTGGTTTTTGAATTCCAAACACTAGGCATACTGAACACCCCAAACAACAAAAAGGCCTATTCCAAGTAACCATTGTACAAACAAGCCTTGGGTCAAGCCCAACAACACTACATCGACATATAAGATTGTAAGGAAAATGGACCCTAGGCCCATTTACTTTAGATTTTGGTGTTTGATGATCAACACAACCAAATTGGACTAATGTGTTTGCTATTGTTTATTTTATAGTTCAATAGGATGCAACGCGGACTTGGATCGACTTTGGAACATGAGGAAAATGATCAACACCCAAAAGAAGACATTGGAGGAGGTGTTGACATCCTAGAAGTGAAGCAAGGAGTCCAAGACGTGAAGATTTCGAAGCCCGAACAAAGCCACGTGAAGAAACGAAAGCGGACGGTGGCTGAGTGGGCACCGCCCTAGGGGTGGTGGTGCCACCAGAGATGGGCTGCTACAGCTTGAAGAAGAGGGGGCACCAGACAGCAACATGTGCACTGCCCTGGTCACCGTCATGGGGTGGCGATGCACCGGACAGGGGGTGGCGGTGCCACTGCCCTAAAATTCTAGAGAGCAGTGACTTGGGGACTTGGGCACCGCCCTGGTCACCGCCCCTAGGGTGGCGGCGCACCGCCCTATGCATAGTGCCCCAACGGCTAGTCCATGTGGCGGCCACCGTCCTATCCGATGCCAGGCACCGCCCTGTTCGGTGACCTCGCAGAGAAGAGGATCTCGCCCATAATGGCTAGTTTGGACTTGGGGGCTATAAATACTTGCCCCAACCGGCCATTTGAAGTAAGTGAGAGCTGAGGGAAGATAGGAAGGTGTTGCTACACCTCATTTGTGCTCTCCACATGCATAGATCTTAAAGATCACTTGGTGATTAGCATAGGTGCTTTGCGAAAGTGCTTAGGTTAGTTAGACCACGCTCATATGCGCTTGCTCTAGGCTTAGGTCTAGTTGCTAGTGAGGTTTGCATACCACTAAACCCAAGGTGCTTGCGCACATCGTGTTTGTACTCGGTGGGGCTTGTAGTCTTGCGAGACCACACCAACCGTGTTTGTGGTGTGGCCGCCACCTGTACCGAAGG